GGGTTCCTCCTAATGCAAGACAATGCTAGACCTCATGTGGCTGGAGTGTGTCAGCAGTTCCTGCAAAAGGAAGGCATTGATGCTATGGACCGGCCCGCCCGTTCCCCAGACCTGAATCCAATTGAGCACATCTGGGACATCATGTCTCGCTCCATCCACCAACGCCACGTTGCACCATAGACTGTCTAGGAGTTGGCGGATGCTTTAGTCCAGGTCTGGGAGGAGATCCCTCAGGAGACCATCCGCCACCTCATCAGGAGCCCAGGCGTTGTAGGGAGGTCATACAGGCACGTGGAGGCCACACACACTACTGAGCCTCATTTTGACATCAAAGTTAGATTGGCCTGTAATGTGGTTTTCTACTTTGATTTTGAGTGTGTCTCCAAATCCAGACCTCCATGGGTTGATAAATTTGATTTCCATTGATAATTTTTGTGTGATTTTTTTGTCAGCACATTCAACTATGTAAAGAAAGGCGTATTTAATGAGATTATTTCATTCATTCAGATCTAGGATGTGTTATTTTAGTGTTCCCTTTATTTTTTTGAGCAGTGTATAACTTGCACCAACCTTTTAATGATTATCTTTAAATCCAGTGTAAAAAAAATAGGAACTCATTTTCTACCTTGCACTTACAGCTTGAACCATCTTGAAGTCATTTCTCTGTTTTATGCTATTATCTGTGTTTAAATGCATTATGTGAAGAACTTATATTTGTATTGGCCCGAAATATCATATTGTTTTACCTTTTAAATATCGATATTGGTATCAGCCTCAGAAGTCCATTATTGGTACTCTGTTTGCAAGCAATTAGTGCTAATTGGTATGTAAACAGACTTGTAATGTCAGGTTATTAAGCTTCTATATGAATAAAACAGTGAGTTATTAACGCAGGTAATTGACTAGTAGTTGTTTGCTACTTTACCACATTAAATTTTTGCAGCACATTACAATGTTTTAAAACAATGCCTCTCTCTAGTATTTACAATCCAGCCCGCTTTTAATCAAGGTCAAATATAGGACAAAAATATTATGCATGCAGGAAACTTACAAAACTACTGTAAACCAAGAAGATGATGATGAAGGGGTTATTCTGTAATGGATGCTGGAGATGTAATTGATGAGCTGCAAGGTTAGATTAGATGCAAGCTGATTAGGGTTACCAAACACATAGTGCACAACAGTGCTCGTGTTTAGCATGTTGCAAGGTAAGAGAAGAGGTGTTACTCATTGACTTCTTCTAATTTATATAATTAAAGGGGTATAGACAGCATTGGTTATCAAAATGTAACATTACAGCTGTATGTAGATGTATGTCTCAAATCCTTTTGCTCTGTCATATATGATAATAACTTGACTCTCTTTGGGACTGTTGTGTCAGATGCTACAAGGAATTTGAAAGATGTCAATTTAGGCTCTGGTGATATATCATCAGATTAATCTGCAGATGAATGGATAAAGAAAATAATTGGTAGTTGTCCACCTAATATATAAAAACATTTAAAAGGGAGCCAGATATGACTCACTGCAACAAGGTTTATCACTTGGTTAAGGTGTTTAGAATGATTTTTATGTTGTGGGTACCTCTGTAGGAAGCGAGGGTATGTTTGTCTGTAGGCGAAGCCGGCACGCCGCACTCTGACGTTCTCCAGCAGCCCGAGGTACTCCACCTGATGGCGGCAGCGATCCTGCTCGAAGAGTAGAGGGGACTTGACATCGTTGGGCTTGATGCAGCGGACATAGTAGGGTTCCTACAGAGGGTGACAGTGTGTTGAAAACAGCTGAACATGTATTTAATCTGCACGACGGACCAATAATTTATTCTTATTTACACTGAGGGGGAACATATTGTACATGGAGGTACAGTAGGACATTGAGTGGTCGGTAACAAAGTGGAGAATGCTACAAAATCTTACTCCAGACTCCTCCCCAGATACTCAAATGTGCAGCCTTTGGGAACATAAATGATGACACTAACCTTCAGTATGTCACTGTATAATTGTATGGACATATATGGGTGATAACAATGTCAGTATGTGTCAGATCTTTTGTGATTTAAGGTGTCTTTTCCAATTATTCCAGTTGTACAGTATTCTAAGTTTTTGTTGTAAACTTGGTTAAACTGTTTGTTAAACTAGTTGGAATGGTTAGGCAATTAATCCACCTGTCAAACTACAGAAAACCTATCTATTTCCTAATAGTCTATTATGATATTCAATCGATTGCAACTTCTCAATTGTGAGGATTTGCTGCTTTTCTTCCAATCACATAATGATTATCTTTGGATTTTGGGATGTTAGTGGGACTAAAAAACAAGCAATCTGAAGATGCGACTTTGGGAAATTATAATCACCCTCAAACTTGCATAGTGTTAACTACAGCAGCTGTTCACATCACTCCTTATTAACATACAATAGCGCTGACATGAGGACACCATGGTCCAGCAGGGAAGGAAACATGCCTTGAATCGGCAGAAGAAACTCAGAGAGGGAACCTAATTTGAGGGCACAAACAGGAGTAAAGTGACTCTGTACTACTACTACTCCTCCTCCTCCTCCTCCTCTTATAAGACTGGGCTGAATTTGAGAGGTGGGTAAAGAGCATTTAGCCTCCACTACAACCCTGGATGTAATGTTGTCAAGTGGTTTCTCAGTCCTGACTCTTCACCTTGCAGGCCAGGTTCTCCACCAACAAGATCATGGAGTTTTTGAAGAGTGTTGCAGCAGTCAGTGGTCGTTTGGTGACCTCAGTGATGCTCAGTTTGCCCTCAGGCCACATCCCCTTCAGTACTGGGTTAGAGCTGGACATACAAAAGAAAAAACATGAAAGATAGAGTTTTATAAGTTGACATTACAACAGCTAACAATCACATCACAATTCAGTGTTTTTTGCCCCTAAAACATTAATCAGGCATCATGAAAGAGGTTCAAAAGAGGTGCAAGTTTTGTGTTATAATCTAAGATGAATCCATTAGTGGCCATGTTAAAACAATTCTTGCTGCTGTCCAGATATCCTGCTTTTGTATCATAAAATGCACATTAGACAGGTTAGGAATTGCCAGACCTCACATTTATGTTCAGCAGGGAAAAAAACACCAGAGGACTGGAGAAGAGGAGGAGGGGAAGAATAGAAGCGAGCTGAAAGGAGATTAATTGTACAAGCCATGTGCTGTTTTTTTTCTAGAGGAGCGTCACGTAATCAAAGTGCTGAAAGGAACACAGTGAAGACTTTGGGGAGGGGATTGAAGCAGTGTGTACAGTCACCTGTTGTACAGCAGTCTTTTGAAATCCTGGAATAGAGTGTCTTTGTTCTTATCAATAAAACCCACCACTGAGTACCTGTGAAGAGAGAGAGGCAGGTAAATGCATGTGTGTGTTATGTTCGAACATACTGTCCTTTTAAACCATTAACGTCATAAGTACGTGATTACTTTGACCTTTATCTAAATCTAACTCTGAATCATCCTGAAACAACTATTTACACTAAGTAGCCAGTGGTATTAAGGGGTCTAGTGCGAGGCAAGAAAATATTCCACCAGCACCAGCCTGAACCGTTTACACAAGGCAGGATGGATCCATGGCTTCATGTTGTTAACACCACATTCTGACTCTGCCATCTGTCCCAGTGCCAATATAGCCTCGGTTTCCTGTTCTTAGCTGACAGGTTTGGAACCCGCTGTGATCTTCAGATGCTGTAGTCCATACAATTCAATGTTCAACGTTTAGTGCGCTCACAGATTCTCTTATACATTGCACTGTTGTGACCCCTGGTTGTTTGAGTACCGGTTGCCTGCTTCCTGTAAGCTTAAACCAGACTTCTCCTGTGATCTCTCTCATTAGCAAGACGTATTAGCCCACAGAACTGCAACTCACAGGATGTTTTCTGTTTCTGAAATACTCAAATCACCCTGTCCCAAACAAACCCTTTCACGGTCAAAGTCACTTAATATTTATTCTCCATTCTGATGCTTGGTCTGAACAACTGAATCTCTTGACTAGATCTGCATCCTTTTATACTTTTATGCGTCGCTGCCACATGAACGGCTGATTAGATAATAGCATTAATGAGCAGGCGTACAAGTGTACCTAATAAAGTGGCCACTGAGTGTCTAAACTGTGGTTTGAGTAAATCTAAATATGCTATAGCTCCATGTTAACATATGCTTTAAGTTTGTGTGCGCTGTTATTGATGAACCTGCTATAAATAACAGCGCTGTTATACACCATGCTGTGAGATGGTGTAAGTGCCTAGTCTAAGTGGTGCAGGGATCAATCAAGGCTGCCATTCAGGCCTTGCTCCTCCGCCTGAGTCCTCCCCTGGGTGGCAGACACTTAGCCCTCACAAATGGGCTGAACACGTTTCCCTGAGAGCACTTTTTGGGGGCTTAGTGTGTGTGATTTATTCATATGAATGGTGTCCAAGCACTATGGGGACTGGAAAGTGGTTCTGTCATTTTGGGGGACGCCATGCAATCAAGATGTCGTTTAAATGTTTAAGTGTGTGCACCAGTGTGAGTGTTGGAGTCATTAAAGCTAGGGTAGGCAATTTACTTCAGAATTTTTTGGGGTTATTTGTTTAAATTCATTCATACATCCAGACAGTAATCAATTAATCAAATGCTCTGACACACACAGAAAAACAAATCCAGTATTCGAAGCTGCTGCAGAACTGGAATAGGCACTGCCAATCATTTCACGCGGTCTCTTGCTAGTTTCTCCTACCTTGTGTGTGTTTTGAATATCAATGAAGGAAAAAAACAGTGCAAAGGTATTATTTTATGTCAGTCAAATCTGTTATTTTAATCTACTGCAGATTACGATGTCAATCAAATTAAATCGTCAAATGGATCCATTTATCAATACATCAACGCAGAGAATATACTTCAGAATTCATATATGCAATTTCAACCATTTAAAGTATAATTTAACACCACGTGAAAAAGCAGTGTTTCGCTTTAAGCATCACTTATGGATGTTGTCAGTGTGCTTTGATGCACCTGTAAGTATACCCAACAGTTATGTCACTGTGTACTGGGGTACACCTGTACATCATTGCAGCAAGATGAGAAGTTCAACCACTGGCAAAATCAGGATTTTCAGGGAGTGTTAAGTAACTCTTTAATGTTTATAAGAACTACATGAAATCCTCAAGCAATTGTGTGTTCAAACAGCCAAAAATAAGAGACATAAAGTTAAAGTCAAGATGATCGTGTGGCCTTTTAGTCAAAATTTTATAGCTATGTACTGTAAATAAATACTTTTCATTATTCTTGTACTGTGGTTGACAGATTTATATTGGTGATATTAACCAGTTCTTTGAGCCTGGAGTCTGCATAGACATTGTTACATTACAGCTGGGTTGGTAGGAAAAAAGAAACCTGGGCTATGAAAAGACTATTTGGTCAAAATCTAGTCATAAAGTGTGAAGGAGTGGCGCTCCCACATCTCCAAAACAAACTCCCATCTGCTTTTGGAGTGGCCAAGAGTAGCTTCAGCACTGAGGCATGAATATGTAAAAATGTACAAATGTGAAAAAAGGGCATGAATCACCAGTAAGTTCTTCCTGAATTAATAAAACTTTAAGATACTTACACCACATCTCCTGCGTAGTGCCTGATGCGAAAGTCTCTGTCAAACTCCAAGCTCTTGTCAGTCGGTGAGAGCTGCAGAGAGAGACAGACAGAAAGCAGTGAGTCAGACCACATTTAAAAATATATCTGCCTTTGCCTCCATGTTTTCTGGCTGCCCTTCGTTCTGATTAAACATGTTGTTAAATATATGAGGGATCTTCCAGCAAACAGCAAGCAGGTATTTTGCTGCTGCCAGACCTGTGAGGTACACTCTTTGTTGTAAACATGACAAATCACACAAAGAGTCGTCATCTGGCCTCTGAATGTTAACCAATAAAATGACACAGCATTTAAAATTTTTACATGGTTGATTTAAATGCATAGACTTAATAATAGCTAAATATTTAATATGTGTGTGGCTATGCAAGGCCTTCCTGGCACCTGACACACACACACACACACACACACAGTTAAGAAGTTCCAAGTAACATGAATATTATGCACATGATGTTATTATGTCAAAATGTATGTATTAACATACACGCCATAATTCAAAGGATAAAATCTTAAACTGAAAACACAACATCAGTAAAGTTGCATTTCAGCCAGAAGAGATTAATATGCTCTGCAAGACGAGGAAGAGTTGGATGATGCAGACAGAAATTGGCAGATCAACTGAGCAATTACATTTTTCAAGACAGACAGACAGACAGATATACATATACATCCATTAGCCCTTTCGGAAATTCATAGTGTGTCATACAGCAAACATCAGACCAACAACATCAACAGACTAACAGCCACAAAACTGCATGTACACAAACATGTAGTCAGCAGCCATACCAATGTAAACCCTGCTACTGCTGAATGACTGAAGCTAAGCTGGTGTGGGTTTAGCCAGTACCTGGATGGGAGACCTTCTGGGAAAACCACTTTGCTGCTGGAAGAAGTGTTGGTGGGCTAGTAGGGGGCAGTGTTCCCTCTGGTCCTAATAATAAGATCCCAATACCCCAGCAGTGATGGGGACACTGCTGTATGAGCTTGCTGTCCTTCAGATGAGATGTTAAACTGAGGTCCTGACTGACTGTGGTCATTAAAGACCACACTTGTTGCAAAGAGTAGGGGGTTCCCCGGTGTCATGGCAAAAATTCCCTACCTACTTTCACCATCTAATCATCCCCCCGTAGTAATTGGCTCAATGTTTCCCCCCCTCTCTGCCTCAAGCTGATGTGTGGTGAGCGTTCTGGTGCTAAATGGCTGCCATTGTGGGTGCTATACATTGGTGGTAGTTGAGATGAGTCCTGCAACTTCACTGTGAAGCACTTTGAGTTTCCATGATAAAGCACTATATAAATGTAATGCATTATTATTATTATTATTAAACATCACCCGAGTGCTATACAAGTTATACTAAGGTGCAGCTCCCCGACATTCAGCTCTGTTTTTATTATCTCATTAAGAAATCCGATACTAGTAGGCACAAATTATCTACTTGGTTCAGAGGGATGGCACCCTATACCGTCTGCCTGATGGTAACAGCTTATATTCGCCAAATAGAGGATGTGATACATCTCTAATAATCGCCTGCCCCTTCCTCACCAATCGGGACTTGCTGTTCTCCAGCAATCTTACTGGAAATGTTAACTATCTTATAAAATTTATTTTTATTATACACTGACAATGTGAAATACCAGGCAATGGAACAAAAAGTTATTATGCTTTCACAAAGGAGCGGAGGACAAATATATCTCTGTCCACATTAAAAGTCTCAGTTTTGTCATTGTTCCTAAGTATTTATAATCATCTACCATTTCAATACTCTACTACTATTAATAATAACAGACTTAAAATAAACAACAACAATACAATCTTCATTGAAACGTGAAGTTTTTTGTTCCTCATGCAGGTTCCAAAGATTCATCAGACACTCTTGTTCCTCTTGCACAGTAATAGAATAAGTCTCAAGTCTACAGCTCTATTACTTAAAAATGTTTTAGAGGACATGTAAAAATAAGGTGTCAAATTCTAATCAAATGTGACAAATACGACAAGTACCCTGGGGCAGAGGAGGAGACGCCATCCCCAATGAATGCTGGCTATAAATCTGGCTTCAATATCATTTATAAGGAGCTGTTTGTTTTAACCTCCCTGAAGTTGCATGTGTGGCTTGCCCACATCGAACCGGTTTTGGTAAATAGTCCATCTCTGAAAAGTGTGCTAAATTGAATTTCATTCTTAAGTACCTTTTATTTTTAATTACTCTATACAGGTTGAACCACACGCTAAGAGTTATTTGCAAAACAGCCAGAGCTACTGCACAGATGCAATGATGCGGAGAACACAGACACTGCCAGGGTGGATATAGTCTTACTACCGCTTGCTCTTCTCCTACCCCTCCTATTTTCTGTAAGACAGAAAGGAATGTGCAAGACGTGATAAATATATTTAAGAATGGGGACAACAGAGACGGTGGGACAAGGAGTGATGAATAGGAAGAGAGAGGTAAATATAGTTTGATGGGAAGAAACAGTGCAAGCAAAAAGGGTGTGATGACTGTTAATAGGCCAGTTAGCAGAAGAGCAGGGAGGGAAGAAGCATGAATGGAAATGCAGAGAGGGCCTGCTATAGTCTTGAAACAGCTTCTGATGAGCACGATCAGGCTTCCTTTTTCATCCACATCTGCAAAGCTGCCTGTGACAAGTTTGTGATGAATTGTGCAGAGTAGAGTGAAGTGGTGTGTGTGTGTGTGTTTCACTACAAGTATCACTCTAACATCAGAGATTAGAGGGAGACTGAAGTGGAGAGAGGTATCCCATGCTCTCTTAACAATCTCAAAGAGATAGAAGTGATTAGCGTATAAGAACAGAAGGCCAGGAGAACAGGAACAGCAGCAAGATTGAGTCTACAGATAACAAAGAGGAGAAAAAACTCCCCTTATATGCTGATGTTAAAACATACAGTATACCAAAGGACAGACAGATATAAAAATATATCCAAAAGCATGTGGACATCCTTGTGCAGCTTTGGACCTTAAATGGCCCTTTGGTTCTATTTAAAGGAAATCTTTAGGACTAGTTCAAGAGTTTTAGCATAAAGACCGAAAGCAGGGTCAAACAGCTAGTCTGGCTCTGACCAAATTTCAAAAAACAGTCTATCATCCATCCGTCTATCCATCGTCAACCGCTTATCCTGCATACAGGGTCACGGGTTACATCGAGTGAAAGGCGGGGTACACCCTGGACAGGTTGCCAGTCCATCACAGGGCCAGACACAAACAACCACTCACACTCACACCTAAGGGCAATTTTAGAGACACCTAGCCTGCATGTTTTTGGATGGTGGGAGGAAGCCGGAGCACCCGGAGAGAACCCACGCGGACACGGGGAGAACATGCAAACTCCACACAGAAAGGCCGGAGCACCCGGGGTTCGAACCCACGACCTTCTTGCTGTGAGGCGACAGTGCTAACCACTGCGCCGCCCAAAAACAGCTAAACTGGACTGCTACAGAAGGAAACAAAAAATGAAAATTTTGCAGCCACGTTGCCTTTTACCTAGATGCTATTTCCGTCCATTGAGCCATACAGTGTGTTCCATTACTTTGGGTCTTTGTGAAAGACTTTGAATGACTCATCCGATGGTTCAGTGCTCTCAGACACAAACCCATACAAACACAAACACACACACACACACACACACACACAAACACACACATACACACACACTCAGACAATGTAAGAAGGAACATTCTCGTATGAGGGGAAATTTTGCAAACAATAAAAACATCACACAAACGGACAGATTTACATCAGAGATCTGAATGAAACAGTCGGCCTTGATTCAGATTCAAAGGCCGAACCAAAACCCACACAGGGCCCCACAGTAAATCTCTGACAGATACAAGTGAAATTCCTCAGTGAAATCACAAAATTATTTACCTCCCTAGCACTTTAAAAACCTACTGAAGCACTGAAATGCTTCCAGTAATATTCTTTGAAGTTTTTATTGGCTATGTTGGTTATTAACAGTTATGTGCTCGGCAAACAAAGGCAAGAAGACGCTATTAAAAAAGACAGTACACAGTTATCAAGACTTTCTGAAAATACCTTGCTGCATAATTTAGTGTCTTCAACACCATCTCAACAAGATCCCAATACTCAAGGTCTTAATTTCAAGCCTGGGTGGACTCTTACCTTATGAGCAATAAAACTAAATTCTTTGACTGCCTCAAGTGTAGCAGATAATTTATTTGGAAATTAAGCGTACACACACACACACACACATTTTTTCTGGGGAGAAATCTTAGAAAGGAAGCCCATACATGAATGCACACAAACACACAGAACAGAAAGACAAACAGATGCACTCTCAGACAGACAGACTGCATCTGCTGGAAGCCGCATTGCCCCTCATCCATCACAATCAGTCACAGACACACACACACACACACACACACACACATCTTGGCAGCTTCATTATTAGCACCTCCTCCTTGTTTGGGATTTAGCCTAATGTTACGACCGATGGTGTGATGGTGGGGGGGGTGGGGAGGAGGAGGCACTAATAGAAACAGAACAAGGTCAGAATAATGAGAAGAGGAAGTGGGGAATGTAAACATGAACCAACAGGAGAGACAGATGCACTTAAGACTTTCAATTCAGAAGAAATACTCAGCAGTAGGAGGCGGAGCAGGTCGAGTACCGATAATTATCAAACCTATTTGTTTTACAGCATTTATTCCCCAGATATTATAACATACAGCAAGGGCATAGTTATTCCACGACACAATACTAGTGCTAAAACAATTGGTCAATGACTATCAGAAACAAACATTTCAATAATTTAAGTCATTTATTTAATGTGGTGGTTTGTAAATGTGCTTATCCTGGTTTTGAATCATTGTAAATGAAATATCTCTTGGTTTGGACTGTTGGATGGAAAAAAACAAGAATTCAAGACATCATCTTAGACCCTACAGAAATGTCACCGACACGTTTTTTCGACACATTTTTCAGTGGGTAAATCAATTATTAGTTCTATCACAGTTGTTTTTTTATTTGTGTTGATGTTTAAGTCATTTCTTGTCAGTTAAAG